GCAAGCTCTTTTCCACAGTTGATAACATCGATCAAGTATTTGCCATTGATCTTGTTCATTATTTCCTTGCCACAATTCCTCAACCAATCAGAACATGCCTTCGAAACAAAATCCCTATCCAACATTACCATAAGTGATTCCAGATCATCTCTAAATGAGTTCCACAACCTCACTTCCTCATCCGGATTAGGTATTCCACCAAACAATTGAGAGGCAGGAGGTGAACCCAATACAGTCTTATAAAACAAAGGCATATCATTTAGCACTTGTAAGAATAATTCTCCTACTTGACCCACAGTAACTTGAATAATCTTTAATGCCTCACAATAAACTAAAATCACATCGGAGCTAGTAGCATTAACACTGGAACATGCATTTAGTTTCTGAGAAATACATAATTTACGCGAATCAAGGAACAATGTCAGAACCTGTTTGGGATCAAGCTCATCAATGACAGCAACTGCAGCTAAAGCATCCGCATAAGCTTTTATCCCGAGGCCAAGTGCTTGATCCAACAATCTCTCTCTGCTTCTCTGCGAGATCTGAAATTTAAAACTCTCCACAATTTGCCATTGATGCTGAAGCAACGGAAATTTGGACAGTACACTTTTGTAATCCTTATTTCTATGCAAACTATGGTGAACGTGTTTAGCACGGGCGTAGCGGGCAGAAGATTCTAAAAACATTGATTCATCGAGACAACCCCAGATATTCTCCGGCGTATCAACAAGATACTTAACCCTACATGCAATTCCGTAAATCCGAGCTTTTGCAGGGTCAGAAGAAACAACGGACTTAGGGGATTCAGCAACGGTGGAAGAGAGAGAATGAATAATGCCGTAGTGTATCGCGGCTATATTGGCAGAAATTGACTCACATGATGATTTCATTAGAACAATGGAATCAGCGGAATCGATGAGATCTCGATAACGATTTCCGACGAGTTGCCGAAGCTCTTCGCTCTTGTCCTGGATCTGTTTCCTGGTGGCCGCTTCCACATTTCGAATTTCAGCAATTGGCTTTGTACGGAAGAGTAATTCAGCATCTTGGTTTCTTACGCCGCCGGCGGATACTGCGACGGGGGTAGAGGTAAGGCGGTTTTGATCGGCGGGTAGTGTCGGTGATGGGGATTTGGGTGTCACTACCCTCATTTTGTCGCCGGCAACAGAGAGGAGATTTCACAGTTGAGGTGACAGTAGAGATACTAGAGATGAAAGGATGTTTTCATGGAAGAAATTGTAAAGCACTGAATAACTTCCATTTTTCGTCAAGGATGGTGTAGTATGACTTGAGTAGCGGGTACATACCAGCTATACGGAGTTCAGCGAAAACACGGGGCGGGTCAATCCAATTTCACAAAGCGGGGCGGGTTAGTTTTTTAGTGGGTTGCATTGTATAGGTTGATTAAGTAGGCATTTTGGATGCAATAACATATTATGATATGGAATTGTGAGATTGAATCAATTAATTCATAAGTTTCTATTTTGTCTTGCATTATATTTGATTTGGATATTGAACTTGAAATCTCCCCAAAATTCTGAGTTCGATCCAAGGAAAATGATGGATGTTCAACATTCAATGTATATCTCTTGTGAATCTCTTCGATAGACATTGGACATCCATTGTTTAAACCAAATATGTATATGAATTATGAACTGCTGTGAAAAAGTAGTTTGAAAAAAATTATCAAAAATGGATAGAATGAGAAGAGTGTTTGACTATAGCTTCAAACACGACGAGGACGTGCTGGAAATATTTGAAATTTGAAATCAAATTTGGAGAGAAGATTTGAGAGAAATTGAAGAAAATATGACAAGAAATTATATAAAAGGAAGAGAAAAGAACAAAACGTCTATTTTATTTAATTTTTAAAAAAAATTATACAAATTAGTGGGGCCTGAAATAGCAAAGTGACCGAGATATTGCTTATTAAAGGAAATAACTGAAACGATAGTTACTTCATTTAATTTAAATTATTAGTTTGTCATTCTCTACAATTATCCCTATTGTATCTACTAACCATTTGTTTCATATGCAAATAAAATTTATAGTAACATTAATATTTTTTAAAATTTATTATTCTTACTAACATAAAATTTATTAATCCCTTCATTTCAAATTAATTGAATTGTCGAAGCATTTTTTATTTTTTAAATTAACTTAATTGTTCAATTTTCGCGACTATCTTTAGAATGTTCTTTCAATTTTACCCCTTCATTAGTTATTATTGGAATTTTATTAATTAATTTTTTAGTTATTTTGATCATAAATTTGATAATAATTAATAAGGGTGGAAATGAAAAGTTATGCTTAATTTGTGTCTTAATCTTCTTTTCTTAAAGGGTATATATGATACACATCAACAATTCAATTAATTTGAAATGGAGGGAGTATTACTTTAAAGTTAGTGAATATAAATGATAGAGTAGAAATTGATTTGGTGAATATAAATAAGAACAAGGGGAGTATTACTATTTTAATTTCGGAAAGGATCTAAAATATCATGTAAGTATTGAAAATGGTACAAAATTACCCTTCATCCACTGATTGACTCCAAAATACCATTTTCACCCACCTATTGACTCCAAAATACCTCTATCATCCACCTTTGTGTTCAAAATTGACCATTTATTTAATGGTTCCAGATTTAAACTATTTAAATATTTTTAAAAATACTTGCCCTTCAATTATTGAATATAATGTAATTTATTAATATCATTTATAAACCAACTCAGTACCCACCCATTATGAAGCCCCACCAATTAATAAACCATTTTTAATATCAAAATCGCCTAAACATACTAAACACGATGAAATTACCGATTCCTGAAAATGACATTCAAAATTATTTGAGTCCAAATTGAAACCCCAATTAAATTTAGGTTGAGCCACTTATTTAGTAGGACACTCTCAATATGATTATGTTTCAAGCTTGAATTAGAAATTTATGATTAAAGATAAAGAAGTAACACCTCTCGAATTAATTCATTCACTTTTTTAATATAGTTTTGTAAATATTTATTATTTGTTTTAAATATTAAAACTTTAATGTATATTTTTTTTTAAAAAAAAGTTGATTGAGGACTTGAACGTATGATAATGTACTTCTACAGACATTTTCACCTCAAATTTTTAAAAATACTCATTGCTAGTAACTTTTCTGTTGTGCATTAGTAATGGTGCGGGTTTATTAATAGGGTGTGATTTAATTAGTAAAGGGTGGATAGTAGATTGGTTAATAAATTATATTAATAAGTGAAATTATAACAAGTAGTTGAGCTTCGTGTATTAAAAATATATTTAAATAATTTAAATTTAAATTTGTTAAATAAGTGGTTAATTTTGGACTCAAATATGAATGACAAGGGTATTTTGAAGGCAATAGGTGGATAGAAGGTAATTTTGTACCATTTTTAATACTTCAATGGTATTTTAGGCACTTCTCCGTTTTAATTTTTCACAATAGAAAAAACGTCTCTTTCGGCTATATATGAAAATGCTTAAAGCAATTTAATATGAAAACATACAAAATTGGTGATTTTTATTTGATAATCACTACTTTCAGCATGTTTAATTTTAACACGAAATTAATATACTAAAAACATATAATTATACACAAGTGAAGCAAGACATGAATCATCATAATATTGACAAACAAGTGAAAATTGTCATAATTTGTACAATATAATATAATTATTTACAAAAATATCAAAAAATGATAAAAATATTTATAATTTATGAACATTAAATATTTGTTTGTCATGATTTGATTTCTCATCCCGTAATCTTATTTTCTATTTGATCTTCCCTTACTCTAAATTTTGGAAAAATAATATAAAAAAACAATAAACAGTAAGAGAAAAAAAAGTTTCGTCTTGGCATAAAATAAGATACAATGCACTAGGCATTTGACAGATTGGGTTCTCTTAACTTTCTTCTTTTATGGGTAAATAAAGATTAGCATTGAAACAAATTAAATTTAATACTTCTTGCAATATTTGCCTAATTTAAAATAGAGTTGACAAACGCAGGACAAATTGAATAGTTCTCTTTAACAGAAGAAGGTGACTTAAATTAGCCCAAAAAAATAAAAAATTATTTGGTGTGGGAATATTGTAAGTTTGAAAGGATAAGTTTTACTTTTACCAAAGCTGAAACGTAAAACTAAAGAATTACAGTGAGTGATTTAAATTGCTACTATAAAATAAGTATTATCAAGTTGAATAAATATTTAAAGTGTGTTAAAAATAAAATTAATATATTTTTTATAAATAATAATGTGGTATAATTTAATTTTTTTTAAAGAGATATTTGTATTGTTTAAATTAAAGTTTTAATTTTTTATTTTATTTTATTATAATTATATTTTAAAATATTGTAATAGAATAATATAGGATTTTATTTTTTAAAAAAAAGTGATGATCCGATCAGCAAATAACGAAAAAGATATGTAAATCTCGATTAAGTTAGAAGTTAGTAATATATTTTGGTTCAAATAGTTGATCATGAAATTTTTTAATTTGATATTCAATTATTTTTTTATATTTTTTAAAAGCTGACTTTCCACGTATGAAATTTCAAAAAATTTCTAAAGAAAAATATATCCAAATACAATTACAAATTTTAAAATTTTAAACTTCTAACTCTAAAACATCAAAGACGGAATAAGAGATAAAGTATTGTCCTTATTACCAACATGATTGTGGTGCAATGACAATTCTATTTTGAATAAACTCTGAGTTAAGTATTGTCCTTATTACTAACATGATTGTGGTGCAGTGATAAGTCTATTTTAAATAAATTCTGAGTTAAGCATTACCCTTATTAGCAACATAATTGTGGTGCAGTGACAAATCTATTTTGAATAAACTCTGAGTGTAAAAAAATAGTTATTGATAGCACCACATGTAATACTATAATATTTAATCTAAATTTAATCGAGACTTGGATAAAAATTTTCGAAAAATGTTTGTCCTTATCAGCTTTTATCATTATCCAAGTAGGGCATGACAAAGAGAGAAAATTCAAAAAATAGAACAAGGTTAAAATGTGCTTTAGGTGAGCAAGGAAGAAGACACGATGGTATGTGTCAGCACCAAGATGCTTATAAAATATAGTCACCATTACAAACATTTGCTGAAAAAAGGGGATTTGGAAAATCATTTCTAGTGTACCTGTCGTTCGACTTTTCTTATTCTTGCTTAGAGAAAGAGAAACGGGAAGATTCATTCTTTTCATATCTTAATTTTGAACTTTTGAACAACAAAAATTGAGTATAAATTAGGATCTTCTACTTCAGATCAATAGACAAAATGTTAGAAGGAAAAGGTGTAATTGAAGATACAGATATGCCTGTGAAGATGCAGATCCAGGCTATGCGTTGGGCTTCTCAAGCTTTGGATGTTTATGATGTTTTGGACTACAGATCCATTGCTGCTCATATTAAGAAGGTAAATCTGTGCGTCTTTGAATTGAATTATTTGTTTAAATTATATCATACACCTTCCAGTCCAGGCAGGGTGTTGATTGTTCTACATTCATTGAGAGAATGAGTTGTTCTCCTCGATAGCGATAAGATTTGCATACTCTCTGCCTTGTCCAGACCACGGGTATTTCACCGGATTTGTTGTTGTTGTTACTATTTTATCACATCATGAGTTAGTTTTTAGAATTGAATTAGGTCAAAATGTACATTTTCTTAGTATGCAAATGTTATGACTGCAATTCATTAATACATTTGGTATCAAAAAGAATTTTTACGTGCATACGATACAACTAAGTGGGACAATCACACAGATTGAGACGTGAATGTAAAGCAATGTGTGGAAAATGGTTGAAAGATATTATGAGTAGTAATAAAATTTTCGAGTTTTCATTCATTTTTTTTTATGTAAGTTTATGGTTGTATATATGCAGGAGTTTGACAAGAAATATGGGGGTGGCTGGCAGTGTGTGGTGGGATCAAAATTTGGATGTTTCTTCACTCATACTAAAGGAACATTTATCTATTTCACCTTGGAGACTCTTAACTTCCTCATCTTCAAAGGAGCCACTTCTACTTGATGAGCTTTTGATTGTGAAAACAGGACTTGTAATTACTCTTTAGCTTAAAGTTTTCATTGTTATGACTTGTGGAAATATGTAAATTTTTTGGCCAATTTCCGCATAGCAAACTAGTAGTTTATATTGCACAAGTTAAATGAGAGACGAATATGGGCATATCTTGCTTCCCTATCAAAGAGCTTTCTCAATACATAAAAAGGAGAAATTTTTGAATCCTTAAAGAAAACAGACAGAATCTGTCAATTCTTGGAGTGAAAAGTTAGATTTCTGAAATATGAACTACTCTGGTTATATTCTTTCATGATGGTGTCTAGATCAACTCGTACGTACACACAGCGGCCAATTGGCATGATTAAGGTTCATTTATATTTTCCTCTTGAGGTGTTAGCAAGGACATCCATCTGCGGTGGATCCAAACCTGCTCTTTCTGAGAATCTGAAAGCAACAGGTACAAGGGCTCAAGTTTCACATTACCTTAAACCAGTGTGAGTACAAAACAATATATACGTATCAACCTTTAGCTAGCTGACTCGAGTGGTCCAAGCAACATAGATTCACCACATACTTAGCATGTTACAAAAGGATGAGTATGAAAGTAGAAGAAACAACGATGACAAAGTCTGAGATCATTTTTCTTTATAACCAAAATTATCCAAGTCTTTGCAGTAGGATCAAAGCTCAAAAGGAGGGAGGCAACACGACTACATGAGGATTTCCCGAGGAGTCACCCATCCTAGTACTCCCACGATCATCAGACATTTACCAGAAGATCTCAAAGAACGGGTGTTAGTAATGGTTTGTTCGAAAAGTATGCCTCCAAGTTTGCAATGACGAGGTCAGCCATTTCCCTCCGAGTCTCCACAGTGCCTGCTGCAGTATGAGGTGATAGTACAACATTATCAAGACTAGCTAGTTGCGTAGGCACTTCTGGTTCATGTTCAAGACCATCAAGCCCTGCTCCTCCCAGCCTGCCTTCTGCAAGAGCAGATACCAGCTCAGGTTCATCAATATGAGAACCCCTTGCAATGTTGATAACAATTCCATTTGGACCCAATGCATCTATCACTTCACGGTTGATAATGTGATGAGTTTCATCAGTCAAGGCACAAGCAACGACAAGGATCTGGCAATTGGAGGCCAAGTCGATAACGTGTGAATAATAAGTGTACGTTGACTCAGGTTTTTGTGTACGCGAATGGTAACTGATTGGACATCCAAAAGCTTCAGCTCTCTTGGCAATTGCTGAACCAATCCTCCCTAAGCCTACAATGCCTACTGATTTGCCGCTAAACTGAAATAAAAATGAAGAGCAAACCAAAATAAGATAGGTTCAAAATACACAAGTGTTAGAACGAGAAAGATTTTGCTAATTGACATATAGAGGAACAGATAAAAGAAACAAGTTGCATGACGTGTTCCTTACGACCGAATCCGACTTGAATAAGAGAATGTTAATCAGGCGAATCAGAAGTTATAAAACTGTGGAAGTATTGCTTTTTCGACAAGCAACAAGTACAGAAAATTTCCTTTTATAAAGAAGTTCACAAGCAAGGTAGTTTTCTTAATCAAATAGAAGTCCTATATGAGATAGGAAATCTACACGAAGAACGATTTAGCGACCAATAAAGTTTTTTTTTATTAACTTAAGGAAAACAGCTTCGTTATTTAATTAAGGAAAATTGCGTGGAAGGTTTTCTCTATCCTCCTACGTGAAAACTTCGAGTTGGACAAAACTTTGAGGGATTTAATCTATAAATAGGATGATAGTTTCGCTGGAGAAAATTACGAACTTGCATAGAGAGAATATCAAAACACGATCAAGAGTATTGAGAGAGTTTTAAGAGTTACTTGGGAGTGTTGCTAGTTTGTGAGGAAAAAGTTGTAAGATTGTAATTAAGAGTTTTTATTACAATCGAGTGTGTAGGATTCTTCTAACAAATTTGAGAAATTTGACGGATGGTAGACACTTAAACTTGGGATTTTTGTCTTGGGTAGCTAGGAATTAGAGTTCATAATTTCTTAGCTAGGAATTAAAGTTTATAATTCTTTAAGTTATATAGGGTTGTAATCTTTTGTTGAGGTTCAAATCCTACAGAGGTGTAGATCATGGTTTTTATCGCGATAAAATATTGTATCGTTATTTTATTTGCTTTACAAAACGTAATTGCTGTAATCTGCAAAGAAACAGATAGAACATACTTGTTTCTTAAGCAAAATTTGAGGGTCAAAATTCCAACAACAAGACCATCATGACAAGCAGGTACTGTTCCTTGGGCTCAATATATAGCAAAAGGCCAGCTTTAAGTAAGGGGAGGTCAAAAACACGTTTTGTTATACGAAACATCCAAATTTTAACTGTCTATAACACCTCAAGAGTCATTCAGACCAGCAATGTGAAGTATAATTTTGAGTTACCATCAAAATTAGAGAGATAAGTTGGACCTAAGGCTAAAAATGTACCTTAGCGGTCAAATTGAAATCCTTTTCCTGCCAAATCCCATTCCTGACGAAGCGATCAGCTACACAAATCCTCCTCAAAGTTGCGATTGCGAGTAAAATAGCCATGTCTGCAACATCGTCGGTGGGACCATTGGGAGTGGAGGTGACCCTAATCCCTCTCTCTTTGCACTTCACCAAATCAATCTTGTCAAGCCCAGAACTGTGACTCGATACAATTTCCAATCTGGGGAGCGAGTCGATCAAAGCAGAGTTGGCTCCCTGGACTCCATTCCCCACCACAGCTCGAATGATGTCGGAGTGCAGTTTGAGAGATTCAGATGGAATTTCCCAGTATTTGAAGAGGGTGAAACGTTTCGCTAGCTCTTGTTGGATGTAATTGGACAATGGACGCATCAGTAATACCCCTATCTCATCCATTTCTGCTTACCACCACAAAAGAGATCTCGCAAATTTGTAAATGTACTCCGACCAGAAGAACTCTCTTTGAAAAAGTTCGGTTTTTTTGGAATATAATAGATTTTTTTTCCTAACGCAAGTATAGAATAAGGGTGGTGTTGTCTAAAATCTTTGTTCTCCCCTCATTGAATTTTTCAGTAAAGATCTTAGGGCTAACAGAAAGGATTTACTTATAAAGTTTAGCTACAAATATAAGAAAGGGAGGTCGTGCTCCTAACACAACATATAGTGCAAATGGCACGAAAGTTGGGGGAGTTCACAACCAAGTTCTAGTCTATTATTTCCATTTCCTAACAATTTGATGACTTCCAGAAAGTTTGAATGAAAAAATTGAAATATTCAAAGCAAGCGTCAAATCTTCAATACTGCCAGTTTGATCATGAATTCTCTACTGAGATCTCCCATTAAACAGTCACTGTTGTTATTGTTAAAGTATTAATTACGTTAAGGAGATATAAGATGGAAAATAGTCGGATACAAACAGTGACAGCAAGTTGAAATACTCAAACAATCATGAAATATTTGGTCGAAAGTTCAGGAGACAATGTACTCCTACATGAAGTGAGAACCTAGTTGCTGCAGAAAATTTAAGGTCTAAACAATCATAATTATTTGCAGCCATTCATATACTTAAACCACTGGAGTTAACAGCGGTTTGTTCAGAAAGTGAGCTTCTAAGTTCCCAAGGACGAGGTCGGCCATGGCCTTGCGTGTTTCCTCTGTGCCACTGCCTACATGAGGCAATAAGACCACATTCTCAAGGCCAAAAAGCTGCTCTGGTACTTCAGGCTCATTCTCAAACACATCAAGGCCAGCACCCCCTAATCGGCCTTCAAGAAGAGCAGATACAAGCTCTTTTTCATCAACATGAGGACCACGGCCAATGTTAATCAGAATTCCCTTTGATCCCAAAGCTTCCATGACCTCACGGTTGACAATATGACGAGTCTCAGGAGTCAGTGCACATGCCACAACCAGAATCTGGCAATTGGAAGCCAACTCAACTACACTTGGATAATACTTATAATTTGTATTTGGCTTTTCTGATCTCGTGTAGTAACTAATTGGACAGCCAAAAGCCTCCGCTCTCTTAGCAATTGCCAATCCAATCCTTCCCAATCCTATAATACCCACTGATTTGCCACTAAACTGCAAAAGAGATGCAAAGCAATCAGGTAAAGATTAAAATACATCCCAGTGGTAAAAAGTTCATACAATTTAGCCAAATACAACAACATAACCAATGTAACCCACAATGAGGTGTCCGGGGCAAAATAATAAATTAGAAATTTATGGGTTCAGCCTTAAGAATATGATTGAATCTCTCATAAATGCATCATCCGATGAACAATACGGTCGCATTTCTCTCAGTTCATTTACCAGCTATAACCAGAGTGTTACTGCAGAAAAAGGCTCCAAAAAGTTCTATTAAGATCAACTAGCAATTTCTAGTATGGTGGCCATAGCTTCTCACAACTAATGTGGAACCACCTCCAAGATAATTACTTACAACCAAGATGGTGATATAAGATGATTTACAGTTTCATCCTAAGGATACTGAAGTTCTCCGCTAGCCAAAGACTTACTGGTATTAATATCAATTTTCCAAATGAAAAATTGCTTTAATTTGCTGCATGTAAACACAGCAATACAATAATTAGAAGTACATCAAGCTGAAAAACAATATGCAACAATAATAGGCTATTATGGAATAGCTCTTCTAAAATGACCACAAGTTATGGACAACTGTTGAGCTCATCTAAAACATCGAGCAACTCAAGGATATACATATTGCCACAGATGTGTTATTGAAGCAAAGAAGCTTTTTAGACATAGCAGTGAATGATCAAATAGTTACAAAGGATAAAGGTCAATATTAAACGACAGGTTCTGAGATATAACAGGAAAGACCAGATCACAGATAATGAGAGAATTTACAGCAAAAACTCAACAACCTATCTTTTACTCAGCATTCATAAGCATTCTTCGAAATTTTCATGTCAAGAACAAAGTGACAACTGACAATATAAAAGCTATGAGATCCAGGTAATCACTAAATACTTTACTGGCCTCAAAGCTATGAAATCCAGGTAATCACTAAATACTTCACTGGCCTCAAGCACATTAATATTTCATTAATAAAAAAAATAAGATGCCTTGAAAATTGACATAGGTCAGAGTCTATAACCTTACTTGGCACAACTCAATTCTACATAGGAACCAATACTGTTGAATTTACCATAAATGCTGTTGAATTTACTTCTACAGTAAAGATTACATCATCTCCTTTATATAAGGAGAGTAGGAAAAGTAACAAGACTTGATTTCCGGGCCACAAGCATATATTTTGGTCTCTTTATGGCTAAACTTTCCATTTTTTTGCTTCAGGCAGCAAATCATCGAAATTTCAATTACCTGTGCCTTTCTCATAGGCATCAGAGTATAAGATTTGGATGGACAAGTGATAGCGGCAAAAAATGAACAAAAAAAAAGGATTGAAAATTGGCGAACCTTAGAAGTCAACTTGAAATCACCGCTCTTCCACAGCCCTTTCCTAACATGTCGATCGCATTCGCAAATCCTCCTGAGGACGGCCAACATCAACCCTATAGCCAAATCAGCCACGTCCTCAGTCAAAACATCGGGAGTATTAGTAACCCTAATCCCCTTCTCTTTACACTTGTTCAAATCAATCTTATCTAAACCAACACTGAAACTCGAAACAATCTCGAGCTTAGGGAGGGAATTGATGAGCTCAGCGTCAGCGCCGGCGAATGCGTTGCCGACGACAGCACGGATGGAATCAGCGTGCTGACTGAGGAATTCATTCTTCTGCGGAACATTCCAGAATCGGAAGAGCTTGAATCGCTTATCTAGCTCTTGTTCTAGGTAAGATGACATAGGACAGGCCATCAATACTCCGATGCTTTCCATTTTTCTTCTTATTTTTGTGTGTTAAGAGTGACACTAGTGGACTCTCTATATTTTGCTATGAGGAGTAGATCACTTGCGCAAGATGTGTGGTAGCAATGCATGGTATTGTTGGTGCAGGCCAATGGATCCGCCCGTAACCTGGGTTCGGGCCGGGCAAAATTAAAATTGCTACGTAAGGAATTAGAACTTATCATTCATCAGAATATATTAATATTATATTTGAAATCTTTAAATTTCGAATGATATTTTTAATAATTTTATCGTAGCAAATAGATTTTTTTTTTCTACATCTAAGAATGTAGTCCAATGGCACTTGGTATTGTTGCCAATGCATCTGCCCTCACAACCTTCGTTTGGGCTTAACCAAAATTAAAATGAAATTAATTGCTAGATAAGAGATTCAAAGTCATGATTATTCGGTAGAATATCATCATGGTGTACCTCGAGTCTTTAAATCTTGAGTAATATTTCTATTTTTTTTTTACTATAGCTGATAAAAAAAAATTTATCTAAAGAATGTAGTACAATGATCAATAAAATAGAATTCAAATCTGGAAGAGCTCTCAAATTTTATTTCTTTGTTCAATCTTTTCTAGCATCAAGGAATAGAATTATTCAATATGTATGTTAATGATTGTGGTAAATTAAATTTTTTTATCAAGTATATCTAAAGTTTAATACACGTCTTAATATCACACGCTAAATGTACTTTATTATTGATTAAATTAAATATTCCTCTATTCCAATTTATGAATACATATCAGTTTTTGAGATTTAAATAAATCTATTTTTGACCATAAATTTTTTATACATATCTTAACATCACAACCTAAATGTACTTTATTACTGATTAAATTAAATATTCCTCTATTCCAAAATTTATGAACACATTTTCAGATTTAAACACATTTATTTTTTATCATAAATTTTTTATATTTTTTAAAAATATTTTATTATTGTGAATTATAATATTCCTTAAATAGTTACAAATAAATAAATTTTATTTTTAAAAATTTAAAAAAATTATCAATTAAACTTAAATTATTTGACGCTTAAAAAATAAAATATATTAAGTAAATGTCAGTATAAATGTAAGGTAGGCAGTCTGGTACACATTTAGGTCCATATTATAGGGTCTAAAAATAGTCCAACACATATAATACGTACGTCAAGGCTGGACCAGATAGAAATTTGGCCCGAAAATCTTAAAGAAAAAGGCAGAAGAGATTGACCTTGGACGTCAACATGAAATCACCGTTCTTCCAAAGGCCATTCTTAACATAGCTATCACATTGGCAAATCCTCCTCAAAACTGCCAAAATCAAAGCAACTCCAGTATCTGCAGCGTCATCTGTGATCAAATCTGGGCAATAAGCGACTTTGATTCCCTTTTCCTTGCAAAGCCCCAAATCGATCTTGTCCAGTCCTACACTGTAACTTGATACGATTTCAAGCTTCGGTAATGCTCCGATTAACTCTGCATTAGCTCCGATTGTTGCGTTTCCGACGACTCCTCTGATGGAATCTGAATGCAACTTCAAAAAGTGGCTTTTTTGGTTTTCGGGGAATTTCCAGAGCCGGAGAAAGTTAAAGCGCTTGTCTAGCTCTTGTTCAAGGTATGGTGACATTGGGCATGTCATTAACACTCCTATAGATTCCATTTCTCGTGCTTGTGTTTGGAACTTGGCGATTTTCAGAGAGTGTATCCCTCACTTCTCTTAAATCTCACTACTAGTGTTGGTAGGTGAGAGTTCATAAAGAATACTTTCAAAAACAAATTGAAATATTAAATTAAAAATACGTAAAATATATTAAAATATCTTAAATATGTCATAGAAAAATCCAAAGTCCTATCTAAGATTTCGAAGTCGTGGCTGCAATATTATAAAAAAAAAGGTTGATCTATTATATTACATTTACGTTTTTACCATTGAAAACGTAAAAATATTTAAATTATAGGTCTAAAATTAATTTTGATATATATATATATTGAATTAATTAAAATGTCAAAAGTGCTATTAATTGCCACTAAGAAAAGTAAAACAAGATTATAAAATTCAAATTTCTAAGCCTGCGGAGAGAGGTGCACCCAATTATAATTACATTGTGTAACATTCTGAGTGTGGGTTCAATAGTTTTTAAAAGATATAACATTACTATATATGATTTCGAGATGGGACCATGAGTTTAGGTGAACCCATTTAGTTTTTTAGATGTCTCTAGAAAAACCTATTGACCAGTGGCGTAGCCACATAGTGGTTAAGGTGTCCAATTGGACACCCTTCGTTGAAAAAAAAAAGTATATGTACAAGTAAAATGATATTCAAAATGGTTAAATAACATATTTTAAATATTCTTAACATAACAAGTGACTATTTCTGAACACCCTTTATGAAATACTTGATTCCGTCATTACTACTGACTATCAAAATATTCGGAATTTAGAGAAAATTATCAAAATTCATTAATATATTTTAAACGAATTAAAAAAGAAAAAAGTAATACACAACTAGAATGTTGCTTGCAAATTACATAATATTGCTTAATGTAAGAAGTTTTATGTAGATCTTAAATAATCTAACCTTTAACATTATTTAGTTTAGTGAATAGAAGTTAAAACACTTTAATCATCCTTCATAAGATTGAGCTATTGTTTTCCCAGAAGCAAGTCGTGCGAAGCAATTATGTTGGTTAAAGTAAAAGGCCATTCACCAACTTAGAGAGAATAAAACTTTTTTTATCAACTTCCTATTTGAATTGAAGAAGAAAAAGAAGTCATTTTTAAATTTAAAATAAAAAAATACAGATAATGTACAAGTACACATTTTTTTTCTTTAATTTTGCAGCAGATTTGCCAAAATATTTGACCTTATCGTGATTCTTATTTCTGGCAAGGGAAGGCCTCCCACTAATATTCACCCCTCCTGTGGTTGTACCTTAACTATTATTAAATTTTAACTTTAGTCACTATAATATCCGATTAAGTATATTCATTAAAATATTTAATTTTTATCCTTTTACTTATAAATATTTAAAATTATTAACCGTCTCAAAATTTAATACCATGCACATTTGAGGTAATATACTTGTAAAAAATTAGTGTCGATACCAAAATTACACATTCTAAAAATAGTGTAGAGCCGAAAGTTTACAATTCTATTTAATTGAAATTTTAAAAATTTAGAAGAGAAATGACCTGTCTTCATCCTTCATTGTAGAAAAAAACATGCACCCCACGTTCTCTCAACCATTCACAAAAACAGAGAGCCTAACATCAAAGACTCCTCCTCATTCTCCATCAACAAAAACAACAAACAAAACTTGCCTCTTTTTTTCTCTTCCCATCTGCGCCTGCTGAACCCCTCTGTCCATTTTGTTCATCATCTCCATATCATATTTTCTGTTTTATGGTCTCGAAGTTCGTCATTATATTATTTGTTATTTATTTATTTTGCTTGAATCAGCCATTATGGTTCGAGCAGTAGAGGAAGAGAAATTAGAGATTCCTGCTGTTGAACCTCAAAATAGTAATGGGTGGAAACTTACCCGTAAAGAGACCATCAAGGCACGTAATATTAATAAAGCAGACGATTCAGCCTCTGCTATCGTCAAAGAGAACAGCCCACCTTCAGGCAAGTCATTATCTTCATCTCTTTGAAACATTTTATCTTTAAATGTGAAAAAACTTAAAAGCTAAGTTTTCAAAGGAATTTGGATAACATCGTTTCGTTCCGGTTTCAACTTGATAAAAAAAAAAGTTATAATTTTGAAAATTAGCAAAAACATTCAATTTTATCTTCCCATGACAAAAAGAAATTGTTGTGCTTTTATTTTTGCCATTAATGACAAAGTTCGCATTTTCACTAAGGTGATATAAAGTACAAAGAAACAAACACAAGAGGAAGCCAAGGAAATTCAATATATGTTATATGAAAAGAAAAAGAATTGCTTGTATATATGATGTAATTTTTTTAGCAAAAGAGGTTCAGACAGACCCCTTGCTTCCTTTAGGTTCACCTTGCTTGCAAGGCTATATAGACATGACAGAATATATTGCCAGATTTGGGGTTTATTGGAGTTCTTTTTTTTTAGCTGAAATGATTTTGAATGGATTTCTATTATCATGTATTGTTGTTTTTAGTCTTCTTTTTTGTTGACGAACGAGCTCTTGTAATTGATACTCAGATATGGAGCTGATGAAGGAAAAATTTGCCAAGTTGCTCCTTGGTGAGGATATGTCTGGCGGAGGAAAGGGTGTTTCATCAGCATTGGCGCTATCAAATGCAATTACAAACCTTGCAGGTATCTGAATTTTTTTCTACAGAGATCATTTGAAGGTTTCATTGTTTTGACTTGTGATTGTTTTGTTTCTTTTCACAAAACACAGCTTCAGCGTTTGGGGAACAGAAGAGATTAGAACCCATGCAACCAGAGACTAAAGCCAAGTGGAGAAAAGAAATTGATTGGCTTTTATCTGTTACAGATTATATTGTTGAATTTGTTGCTTCTAAACAAAAATCAAAAGACGGAACAATTATGGAGGTATACATACATCTGTCTCTAACTCGAAATTCCTCTTCACATCTGTCATTTATATTAATATAAAACAAACTAACAAAAGCATCAAATGCTTAATTTTTTCAGATTATGGTGACAAAGCAGAGAACTGATCTTCAAATGAACATTCCCGCATTGCGTAAGCTAGATACAATGCTTCTGGTAGGGAGAAAACTTCTTTTCTTTCTTTGCATTGCTTTTCATTTCTCTGTGTTTTTTTTTTTGGTTAGCTTATGTCATTTTAAATAATGCAGTTTACTCTTAATTATGCTTATGTTTGGTTTTACAACAAACAGGATTGTTTAGATAGTTTTAAAGACCAAACAGAAATCTGTTATACATCCAAAGATGATGAAGGTAAAACTGCCAGGAAAGATGATAAATGGTGGATACCTACCCCTAAGGTTCCTCCTAATGGTTTGTCCGATACTACTAGGAAATGGCTGCAATTTCAGAAAGATTCGGTGAACCAAGTTCATAAAGCAGCCCTCGCCATAAATGCTCAAGTTCTTACAGAGATGGAGGTTCCTGAAAATTATATAGAATCCTTACCCAAGGTACAAGAAAGTTTTGAAATCTAGAATTTCATCAGTTTAGCTAACCGGAAGCTTATGATACTCTTTTGTGTGTGTGTTCAGAATGGGAGAGCGAGCCTTGGAGACTCGATATACAGGAGCATCACGGATGAATACTTTGATCCGGATTACTTCCTTTCAACTATGGACTTGTCCTCTGAACATAAAATTCTAGACCTCAAGAACAGAATTGAAGCTTCCGTAGTTATTTGGAGAAGAAAGATGACAGCAAAAGATGGGAAGTCAACCTGGAGTTCAGCCGTTAGTATGGAGAAAAGAGAATTATTTGAAGACAGAGCAGAAACTATCCTTCTTATTCTTAAGCATCGGTTCCCTGGAATTCCTCAATCATCACTAGACATAAGCAAAATTCAGTACAACAGAGTAAGAAGGCCCCGTGTTGATTATCTTTCCATTTTACTGATGTAAATTTACAAAATGCTTCAGAACATCCATATGTTTTTTCTTGCTTCGCAACTTTGTTTCATTGCTTCTTCTATGATTACGTAATGACTTCACAGAAGGATTCAACCTGATAGAAAAACCAGTTCTTGGACTTCAGAAGATCATAATCTATTATCTTTTTCATCTTACAGGATATCGGGCAAGCCATTTTAGAAAGCTATTCAAGAATAATTGAAAGTAGGGCATTCACAGTCATGTCGCGAATTGAAGATGTAATGCAGGCAGATGATCTGGCCCACGATCCTTCAAATGCAGAAGTAAAGAGGTTTCCAATGGGAGATTCATTGGGAGTATCAGATGGAATGTTTAATGATAAGGAAGAAGTAGAGAAGCTTAGTTCTGCAGAAACACCTAATTCAATGACACTGCTGGATTTCATGGGTTGGGGAGAAGGAGATGAAGACACGGAGAAAGATACGAAGGAAGAAATCCGATCAAAAGAAAGTGATGCAAAGCTTCTAAGCAAACCTCCAAATATAGTTACTAACAAGAGAGTTTCTTACCTAGAGAATTTAACTGGTTCCAGAAGTCCAACAGCACGCCACTAAATGACTTCACAGCAGAATATAATGATTGAATTATCAGAGGCAAGGACTGAGTGGACAGAGTTTCATCAGATTAAGAAAGCTCAGCGTCAAGTGTACATATCGAGATGAATCAAACCAATGTAGGATTTCACTAAAGTCATTCCTTTTGTAAGTAGGGATAAGTTAGTAGACCTAATGGGTCTGTGGCAGTTCTTTAAACGGTTTACTCAGTACACGTTGTCGCTTTGTTGTTGAACAACACTGAGAATTGCTGACCTTATAACTTTTATAACCTCTGGTTTTTCAGATCTATTAATAAATATGATCTGTAGTTTATATGTGGTCTATCCGATTTGCAGTTTAGAAGCGAACTTTCCACCTTGTTGGTAAGGTTCAATTCCCTATCTAGTAATCCCCTCCCACATTTCCCCTTCAAACTAAATTACTATCATCTTAATTCCCTTTAATTCAACTGAAGAAAGTATAGGTGAGAATATATAAACAAATACTAATAGTTATCTCAATTATCTGAGTAGAGTGTAGACTATCAGAAGGCATCAACCAAGTAAGAAAGCAAATGCTACAAATTCACCATAAGATATAAAATTGTAGTAATGGGAAGTCTTCAATTATACTTACACAAACTGGGGGCACATACATCAATTACAAATTGAAAGTTGAGAATTGAGTCGAAAAGCAATTAGATCTTGCCACGTGGCCCGAGCTTAGGTGGAAGTTGTGGACCTTTCTTGATTGGTAGGATATCCCCTGATGCTGTGGAACTGAAGTAGGCGAGGGTAGAGCCACCTCCCAATATCAAGAATTTGAGCAACAGACCTCTCTTGGTGAATGGAGCAGCAAATGTCTCAAAAAACTTGCTCTACAAAACACAAAACAACAGGCAACACGTTTACTAATCAGTATGTGCAGCCTCATTAGAACAGTACACTTGATTGTTTCACATTCATTAGATCATAATTTTGAAGTGCACTGTTCCCAAAGGTTATGGAAATCATCGATATTAGTACGTTATCTTATGGCACTCCAACTGTTTTCCCAAACAGGTTATGAAAAATGTCAACTGAAGTACCAAACACTGATACATCGAACTTACAAAACGGATCAAAAGCTGTGTATTACATGAGTTATTCATCAACTATGCAGACAAAAATAAAGTACCTGAAGAGAGTTGTATGGTGAAGGTGCATCTGATCCATACAAGTCCCACTGGCCAGTTGTGTTGCCCAAATCCTCCAAATCAAAGTATACACTCTTGTCACCATATTTGGCAACTACAGAACAAGCCCTATTATACAAACATGTAATTAGTCTCATCACAGCTTATGCATATAAGCAATAAATACATCCAGCATCATTCAACCCCCTTTTCAGTGCCTATATGAACAGAGTAACTTAAATCTTTTTACCTTCTTCTTTTGTTAGATCAACTAAATTAAACTCCAAACCAACATAACTAACAAAGACATTCACTCTGAACTTCTTACTTTATCTAGATTCTACTATGATTGTGTTTTACTTTGAAAAAGTTTTCTTGATGAGAAAGATTTTTTCTTTTTTTTTGTAATGACGATAACATAAATGAGCCAAACTTTTAATAGATGACATAGATGAGTCATTTCTAATAGTTTTATAGCATATTTGAGCCTTTTTCCTTTCATAAAAACTTACGTTTTCACTAATGGCTTAAGCTTTTAGACGATGTGAGAATGGAACCAGCTCTAAAGCTGCGAATAAGCTATAAAGATTGTGGTTTTGAAACTCATAAACTAATAATCGTGACTCCGCCTCTAGTTAAGTCACGCCATCATCCACTATCAAATGCTACTATGTTCGGCTCAGAAAAAAGAGATAGACCACACACGAGTAGACGTATTAGAGATATAATTAAGTAAATTGAAGTGTAATTATCGATTGGAAATCACAATTAAGTAAAGAAGGCATGACTTTATTACCTGAATTTAGTGCGGTTAAAATTGAGACGAGATGATTTGAGATGAAGCTTAGTTCCAGTGATTGAACTTCCAGCTAGGCCCTTGATGTTGGTAGTTGGCTGCACTGCAGCAAGGGTTGCCAAAGATGCCATGGCTTTTCACTTCAACAAACTAAACAGAAACTACTACTTTCAGACTTCAAATTTTGGGCTGGCAATTGGCACAAATGTCGATACGTTTCGGTTTTTGATCTTTTTGGGTGGATCCAAACAGGACATATGGCAAATTGGGTATCTTTCTAGATATTAAAATTCCACTAGTATGGGGACACGTGTCGTAGACTGGATAAGCCTATCCTTTGTGGTTTTTTAAAAAAACGTTCAGTAGGTTATTATACCATTAAATAGATATTAATATGATAGTATTTGATTGAATATGAAATTTAAATTAAAAAAATACGGAATTTAAAACAATTTAAGCATTAGAAAGTTATATATATTCGTGTTTTCCTATTGTTGAAATATGTCTCGGATAAAAGCATGCTACAATTGAATACTTAAAAAAATTACTATCAATAAAATTTCACTCGATATCTTAAGACGTGGACAATGATTTCAGATTGTTAAGACTTGATTATTCCCCAATAGAGATAAGATTTGTTTTTACCTTTTACAAATCCTACTTATAAAATTTATTTATTTATTATTATTTATATAAAATAATTTTAAAATTTAAATGTCCTTTCTTCGCTTTAGTATAATTTTTCTTATACGAAAGAAATTCAACAAGTTGGGTAGAGACTACTGGCTGGAGTCTTGTTGAATACTCAGTAAGATCACCTAGAGGATCGACTCACATGCTCTCTACATCAATATGCTTATAAACATCTTAAACCATGAAAATTCAGTAGTTCAAATATAACAAAAAAAAGAAAAGGAAATCTTATACTATGAAAATTCAATAGTTCAAATGTAATAAAATAAAAGAATATCTTATAAGAAGGGAATTCAACTGCATCTCTGGATTGGTCTTTTTAATAATTGTACTCATCATCTCAATTTACGTGATACTATTTAATCAGAAATAAAAATTTAAGAAATTAAATTTTTTTTATTATATTTATTAAATTGTATTCCTTAAAGTTATGTACTAAGTTTCAGTTGACTTTCCTTCAAAATAATATGTTAAGTGAAACCCAACAAAAATAAAATGGAAATGATGTCATTAAATAGTTGTTAAAATAAGAAAAGAAAATATATCTCATAGAGGGGGTAAGCATGAGATATTCATAATATGTGAGGATGCAAGTGTTTGATCTTATAATATAGAGGATGTATTTGAAATTGAATCATACTGTAGGGGTATCAAATGTAATTAACCTAACATTTTAAAGGCAATTAAAAAAAAAATCAAGAAAAAGGGTATATATCTATATCCTTCCTCTTTCCCTCATCTCTTTTGTGTTATCCTCACACAATGTCTGTAACTTCTCCTCTTCTCTCTCAATTCAAATCCCTCACCATTTCCACCCCTTTTCTCCATGGCTCCTCTTCTCTTTCTCGTCTCTCCACACCCTCATCCTCTATCACTTCCCAAAAACCTTCTCCACCTGCTTTCCTGCCTCCAATTCGAGCCATGAGATCAATGCAAGGCAGAGTCGTCTGCTCCACAAACGACAAAACCGTTTCTGTGGAAGTTACTCGTCTTGCTCCTCACCCAAAGTACAAACGTAGGGTTAGGAAGAAGAAGAAGTACCAAGCTCATGACCCATTGAACCAATTTCAAGTTGGGGATTATGTTCAGCTTGAAAAGAGTAGGCCCATTAGTAAGACCAAGACCTTCGTTGCTATACCTGTACCACCGAGGAACCAGACCAAGGTTAAGGAGGAAGAGAATCAGGAACTTGGGCTTCCGCTTGAATCTCTGCAGACGAGTTAGAGTGAGAGCTTTCTTTTGTACTGTTCAGTTTCTTTTTGTTTGTCTGTTGGTTTCTGTTATGTTTTCATGATAATCATGTATTTTTAATTGACTGATTTTTAGATGATAATGAGTTTATTACTAGATTTCAATGGTGATTGTTGCTTTTGTAGTTGTTGCTAATTTTATCCTCTTTTATCTGTGAACCTCGAATTCTACTTTATTAGACCTGACCCGGAATTAAACTATATTATTTATACATGGTTAAAATAAGTTTATATGTATATATATATATGGTAGATGTCGAACCCCTTCGACTACCTATTTCTACGGATTTTGAACCTCCTCAATGAAATCATGGCTCTGTCTCTGATTATTGAACCATATCGTAGTGAGTTATTAATGTAGCTGAAGTGTTCTTTGTGGATTTCAAATTTCAGAGATTCAAAGACAAAAACTTTGAATTAGCTTCCCTTGGGAAACTTAGAATTTTGCTTCTTCATTTTACAGGCAGTGTATTGGAGTTCTAACTAAATAGTTGAATGTGTGCATAATTCTTGCGATTCATGTGGATTAGTGAACAAGATCAATTGAGGAAATTAGTGACTTTTTGATGGTGCAAGAATATCAGAACTTGATGGTCATGTACTGGTCCAGTTTTAGGTATAACAGAAGTTCAACTTCGATTAGTCAGCTTGCAATGTCATTTTCTGCTTCTGTATTGATTGGGATTTGGGACTATAAAAATGTACAAATGAATTGCTTGACCAACGTTGTTAACACATATCATGCCACTAAGAGATAATATTAGTGATAATTATCTGAAAATGTGTCTTCTGAAGGTTGCTTTGTCCTTTTGATTTTTCCCTGGCTGCAAGAATGAACCATATGAAACCTAAGATGTATAATCCATGATAACATTTTCATATTTTCTTCTTGTAATTGGAAAATATTATTCATAGATTGGGTGGTTGCCTTTATCTTGGCGGAGAGACTGGCATTGAGACAGTGTCTTTGTTTTGCCAAGAAATTTGTATTAATGGTATGCTATGTGTTTTACTTGAGTATAATTATCTTCGGAACATTAATTTTCCAGCTCTTGGATAGAAGGTTAGTCTATGATCATAAGAGACAATATGCTCTAGGCAACAATTTATCATAATGATTGATTTATGTAGATTAGGATATTTTGATCAAGTTTTTGCTCTAGCGCAGTCAAGAAGCTTTGCTACTTTAGCTAGATCTTTTATCAGATTCATATGCGTAAATGCTGTTCATCTTTGCACCCGTGAGAGATAATTTTTTTCCTCTTTTCACCGTCAATGCCTTAGCAACAAGCAAAGAGGAAGCTGCATCAATGGGCATATCATCATTTGACTCTCATATTTTGAACCTGGATAAGGGGATGCATCATACACACTATCTGCATATATCATTTAAGAGGCAACAAACATTCGATGAAGCTTAAGTTACTCCTGTGTACTTAACATCTTTTTTCTAAAAGAACTTGACATGCCTGAGATTTGTTTGAAAGCCCTGAACTCTAGTGATGAAAAAAAAAACCATTCCTTAAGAATGCACCTCAAAAATCCCCTTTTCGGTCCAGATTTAAAGCGCAAACCTGGTATTCCATATTTTGAATTACAGAAAAATGGGTAAATCTGTCCTTTTTGTCCACCTTGTAGCTTCACTGCCTGATTTAAGCATAAAAGTTGTTTGTTTATAATTTGTTGACGTTTTAGTACTTTCTCGATATGCTTTATTTGGCAAAATGTTGTAGGTGCTCTTCATTTCTTATATCCAGTTTGATATAACTTGGTTGATTCTAAGTGCAGCCTCTCTACCCCAAAAAGGTAGGGGTAAGGTCTGCATATATCCTACCCTTCCTAGACCCGACTAGTGGTATTGCATTGGGTACGTGATTGTTGGTTGATTCTAAGCCATTACGAGAAAAGGAGGGAGTGGGGGATGTGAACACGTTAATCTTTAAATTCACTGCACATAGAACATAAAGCATGAAGAAGAGAAGGAAAGAAAATTAACATGAGAGTAGGAAAATTCTTATAGTATGTAAACTTTTGTGTTTGAACGAGTTTCCTTTACTATCTGGATGGGAGGGGAATTACAATAACGGGGTAAGAACGCGTTGTTCCTGAATCCTTTTCATCAGTCTATTCAGATGAAAAGGATGGAGGAAAACTATATAATCTGTATAATGAAATTAGCATCTCTCTACCTAGAAGAACTAATATCCATTGTCACATTGGAATCTTGTCTTGATTTTGTGCAACGTACACGACAAAAGGTTGTTGATGGATTCTACCGACTCCTTAGAAAGTTTTGCTGTTGTAGAATTGCTAGTTAGAATCTGAAAAGCAACTGTTAGCAAGGATCCTCCTTCTGAACTTCTGTCCTCTGGTCTAGAAGTGATAACAAAAGGCCTCGACTCTAGACCATCAGGGAGGATCGAGAATCCCGAAGGTAACGCAGCAATATTACTAGAGTCACAACCTGTTATAACAGATTGCATGCCTGCAATGTCCACTGGGGCATAAACCACTGCGGATTCATAAGCATTGGTGCTTGTATCTTGAAGGATCCACATGTTGTTTTCTCTTAATTTCACTGCCTGAATAGAATTCACAGTTCCAAACATTCAATCACAAAGAAGGATTGAGAGGTAAACCAAAACGTTTTCTCTGAGAGGTACTTACTTGGATTGAGACTGCATTTCCTTTGTCTTGACCTTTTGCTAAATTTGCAACGGATTGCACTGGACCTCCATTAGACATGACATCCCACTTCGATAAGAAAACATTAAGAATGTCAAAATCTCAAAGGTATCTCAGATGGTAGAAACTACAAATGTAATTGAAGAGCTGATTGAACTTACTAACCTCATGGCGATGGTTTTCATCTTTCAAGAAATCAAAGAGGACGTTGCGAGAGACAGGCAACCAAATGGAAGAAGCAGCACAGAGAATAAGGCCTTGGGGTTCACCAGGATCAGTTAAGTTCCTCCTAGAGATCACCCTAATATCCTCTTGGCCAGTTTTGCTAGGGATCTTGTTCCATGTATTATAACTAGAAGCTCCAAGTACGCGGTAGAAACCCCTAGTCATTCTTTGTGCCAATGTTAGTATACTTTTTCTACCAGCAAGCGTGGCAACACCTGATTCGTTTACACAGTTTCCAAAGTTCGTCATGAAAATCGAGCTAATATTCAACGTGGAAAAGAAGAAGTGTGTTGATAAATTACCAGTAGTGTCCTTGGTAGGAATGTTGGTTGCCATGAAGAAGAGGAGGCGCTCACATTGCTGCTGAAGAGTAGCCATCCAGCGCCTTGCGCCAAAAGCTTGGCCGCTGTTGACAGTTACACGGTACAGAGAGTCCACTATGTTTTTTTGGCACTCCAAGTGTTCCACCCACGTCACCTGAACATGACAACGTTCAACTTCTATGCATGGATAGTGTGAAAAATAATAACTAGAGGTAATATTAGCATCTACATTCTACACTGTCCTTATTTTATATTTATGCATAGCACAACCCAACTATTTTCTCATTTTTTTGGGCTATTTGTTTTATGTTCATCCAATCTGCCAAAATGGTTATATTAAAGTTTCTCACAGTGAGTAACTTTAGAGCATTGTGTATAGAAAATATAGAATATACTGCAACCACCAAGTATAATACATCCGTTATTATAATTTTATGCGTCTTTTTTTCATTTTCACATTTTATATTTAATTTCATTATCTTGGGTGACTTGTTTAAAAATTAAGACTACAAGATTTAAAGATGATATTTTATACTAACATTAAGTTTAGAATTACAAACTCAAAAAGAATTTCTTTATTTTTGTACGCTTCATGCTTAATCAAACTATAAACACAAAAAATAAAACTAAAAAAAAATTCATCTCGGTATAACATGACATATATAAGTTGTAAAAATCACCAACTTAAGATCCAAAGACCATAGAAAAAAAAAGTCTTTTTTAATATAAGAATATAGTCGAAAATAAGTAGAAGTGAATTTCTAAAGTTATACTTATTTCAGGGCAAATATTATTTTTGGACAAAAGGAGAATATAACTAATAATTAGGGTTTAGAAAGAAAGAGACCTTGCAATGTGCATTGGATTGTTCTTGTAGAATGCATCCTGAGGGTAATTTTCTGCATTTAAGGAGAGAAGCGTCAATGCTGGCTTCAACTTTGTCGACAGAAACATCCACAATCCCCCACTGTGCTGCACTCATTTGTTTGCAATATCTCACAAAATACACTTCTCTCGTCCCCACTACTGGCGTTAACATCTGCACCTCTGCAAACATCTTTACCCCAAAAAATATGTCACATTTAAGAACAAACTGACAAAATCATTTATTATCGTCCTTCCACAAAACTCTTTTTTTTTCTTTAATAGAAGCGGATTCAAAATTTTAAATTTCAATTAAGGTTCTGAGTGATACTTAACCCCAAAATATTTTTAAGAAGATGTTTTTTTATTTGATACATATAGTCATAATTAAAAAAAAACGAAATAATATAAGGTAACTTACTAGCTGAATTGCGCCATCCCAGCTGTTAGCACCTTCAGTACCATTGCAGATCACGTCTACTGTTGCTGCCTTTGAAATCATCGATGGGAACATTTCTCTCCATTGATTCTGAAGCAATTACAAAATAAATTTAACGTTTACCCAATTTAATACCTTTTTATTAATCTATATTTTCTATGTAAGTGCTAACCCTAGAATTAGAAAAAGATAATATTAATGATCACAATTTAAAAAATATATTGTTCATACATAATTTTTAATTGGGGGTGGATGTGCAGGTTTGTTTAAATTTATAACTCTCAATTCAATAAAAATATATATGTGTATATATATGTAGAAACTTACTATTACAAATTTAACAAATATTAAAATTAAATCAATAATTTTAATGTTATAGTGACTCAATCCTAAATATCTTAAAAATTGAACCCTGTAAATCCATCTTTGTTGATAATATGTATTATTGTGAACATTACATATAATGCTTTTTTTTTTATGGGGAGTTACTCGTAGACATTTTTCAGGTGACTTGGATAGTTTAAATTTTATTTACATTGTTGGTTTCTATATTTACAAAAAAAAAAAAGAATTGTTTCGGTCAGAATGATCAAATTATATTTAATCTTGTTAATTTCCACTTTTATGAGTCTTTTACTTTTGTTCCGATGTAAGCCCTCAACCCTAAAATTATGTCGATACACGATGAGTATATAAAAATTAAATTCACGATCATTCAATAAGGATAATTGGATAACTTACTACGTCCATGAAAGTCTGAACAAGTCGAGGGAGCTCCATGAATACAATTCCTGTGTCTCTGGAAGCTTCAATACCCATTATTTTAGATTTTACGTCCCCAGATTTGTCTATAGGAGGAAACTCCTTGGTGTATTCGTCATAATTAAGTATTTCTCTTCCAGTTTCAAAGCTTTTAATCCACAGTGGTTCACCACTAGTAGCCATCTTTTGAAGTTGTTCCATTGCTTGATTAACGATGTGCATAATTCTTGGTTTTTCAAGCCCAAAAATGCCTGTGTAAAAATCTAAAGCGCTTTTATTTTCTTCATCATTTCCTCCTGAACATGAAGATGAACTATTTGGTGATGTCCCTATTTGGTATTTTCCCAATGCTGCCCTAAGCTTTTCAACCTGCATTGATAAAATTAGAACCATCATGTTTAATCGGTTCAATTTGTTTGTTTAGATATTGACTTTAAGCAAAGCATAAGAAAATAATTAAAACTTTTAATTTAAAGAGTTGTAATTTGCCTTGTATTTGCTTAATCAGAAAATTAACCTTGAATTTTATGATTTTAAACATATGTCACGTAAAAATTCAAAATTAAAGAATTTTCAAATAA